AACCGAGTAATTATCATTCTGTGTTTTCTTCTTCAACTTATCACAGCAATAGTAACAACAATTAGGTAATCATTGGCTGTCGCGAGCCAGATTGATGACAGTAAATCATTGGCTGTCGTGGGCCGGATTGATGACACTGGCGGGCCGGATTTGGCCCGCGGGCCGTAGTTTGGAGACCTCTGTATTAGACAATGGAAGTCCGAACTGATGAAACTGTCAATTACTCAGGATCAGCCATTCCGATTTACTAAAATTAGTCAGTGTTGAATAGAGAATTGAAAGAGGTATCGATTCTCGGTGGCAAGTGTTACACTATTGTTTCTTCCCAAAAATATTGAAAAAGCCTAGGTCCAGTTCAAAAGTTGTGAATGGGTCAACTTTTTACGTTTTCACTTAATAAATCATCTCTATATAAACTGAAAACTGAAAACAAAACTTACACCAACACCTGCTGAAATAAGTGATGGGAACAGCACTCCGAATGAAACGGACGACATGCATTTTATCACAAGTCATAATTTTGATAAAACAATAATTGGCAACACAGCTCTATCGTATCGTAAATTAGTAGAGCGTCAGCTAATTATCCCTGAAAAATGTGAATTCGTTCTGTCGGTGACTATGAAATATGCGTCACATTATACAATGTTCGTTAATGAAAACAAGCTTTAATGTTCCGTCTTCCGTGTCTTCCTGATATACGTAATATCATTACTATGTTAATCCGTAATCAAAAAACACACTTTAATGTGAGATTTCCATTGGGTCCTCTTAAAGATGATCAAGATGGCCAAACCCTTAAAATATTAGTTTGGCGTTGGGAAAAAACTCCACTAACATCCAAAAACAAGTATGAAATAGAAGATAAATTATCCAACATAATGATACAAGCCTCATTGAAATGAATATGAGCTTTGCAAAAATCCACATACAGAGCACCAATTACTAGGATTTAAGAAGGAGTTTCAAGCGATTTTTCAAATTTCATTATCGTGTAGAGTCTGGGCAATTTTTCATGCAGTTTAGAGAAAAAATATAGGATGAACTGATAATGAAAAATGCCAAGCTGTCAAATAAAATCAAATCAAATGACCAAATGGGAATGATCAAGACAAAGCCATTTCGAATAAAATAGTTTTTAGTCTGGAAAACTTGTTAAGTCTGTTATATAAATAATCAAGTTGTTTCGTTGAAATTAATCAATGTATGTTGATAAGAATGTGTAAAGTGCGTAGTTTTTGAAGCCTTAAACATCCAAAGTCGTCAAACCTACTACTGACGTGATCAAATATGCGCATACCGAAGGAAAATCTTAAACAACAGTTTTGAATTGATTTTTGGCGACGAGAGTTAGTGCAGGTCCTTATTTTCAATCGCAATATGATAATTTAGAAAACAATAGAGTTTCGCAAAGCTCAAGTTTGAATTGTATAGTAAGAATATCCCTATTGGGAAAGATTTGTCTGAAAATGTCAAAGTGATAAACAAAGATGGCTGATACGTTTGGAGAAAACCAACAAACCCAAATTCATACTTTCAGAAGTGAAGGGCTTGGCAACATCGATTATGTGGATCTTGATGTGGTTAGGTTAGGCATAGTGATGAATAGTGTAAAATTTTATACTTTTATAAAAATCTGAGATATAGATGTTGAATAAAAGAGGTCCAAGAATGGAACCTTGTGGTACCCCGAATTTGGTATTCAGAACTGCTGATTTGGATTGATCAAGGCTGATATACTGAGATCGGTGTTCCAAAAAACTTTCAATAAGATCTACGGCACATTTAACCAAACCGAAGTGATTTAGTTTATTGCATGATAAATTCATTAGCTAAACTATTCACCTATCTATGAATAAATAAGATTAGAGAATAATGGATGTAGTTCTAACCTGAGCTATCATTCACCTACTTTTAAGGTCTGTTCTAATTACCAATTTTCTTGTTGGAAACTGATTTCAATAAAAGGAATCAATTGAAATATATTTGATCATTGAGTTATAATCCCGAATTTTGGCATCTATTGATTTATTTGGTTGAAGCTGGGATGAGTCTGCAACTGTGTGAGGAATCACACGTTTAAAGGTAAGACCTCGTTAGTCCTTAGCTCGCACAAGTTTCTCCACTTCTGAGAGTTGTCGTTCGTATGGAAGCGATAGCTGATTAACGAAAAAACAGATTTTAAACAGATTTTTTTGAACAGAGGATTTTTCTTTCCATTTCCATGTTTTTCTAACGAATACAAACATATTCGTTTGGAAATGTAGTTGATTAGTGACGTTACTTACAAATACAAGTGGCATAAAAACATAGAATGTTAAAATGATCATTCTTTTCAATTTTTAGTCATTTGATTTGATGAGATACGTAGTAGTATTACTACTTCCTCACGTCCTTGGTATTCCGTTCATCATGATGCAGTTTTTATGGATGTTGAATATATCATTATTATCTCCTGCAAACAATAATTACTTCTAAGTTAGTGTTTACGTTGTCAGATTTCATTGATGCTTATAAATTTGTAAACATCGTACGATTATCGAACAAAAAAACATCTAATCCATTATAGTGTCGTAATCCTGAGAAATCCAGAGTAGTTCATCAACAATCTCAATACCAGTTACTTTTGGAGAGGTTTTGGGTCATCATTTATTTGAAGGAATTCTGAATGGGGAAACTTATCACCAGTTTTTAATGTCGATTTTCGACTTTGGCATGCTGCAACTAATATTGCTCCTCCTACAGATAAAAAGAAAATACAAAGTGTATGGGACCGACCTCTTCTGAACATTATAACTGATAAACTTCTGAAATGATGGACTTGCGTTAAAC